CGCCTCCCTCTCCTCCCCCGCGGGAAACTCAGCTCAGGGGGCTTCCTGGGGTGAGGGGGGTGGGGTGCCCAGGCAGAGCAGGTCCGGCGGGGACTGTGCCCAGACAGGGTCCTCCCTGGGGGTGTCCAGGCCCCCACGCAATCCCAGCCCCTCCCCCTCACTGCACAGGGTGGGAGGGGTTCCACCCTCAGCCTGGAAAGGGGTGGAGGGCACAGATGGTCCTTCAGCCAGACCCTCCCCACCCCCCTTCTCCAGACAGGACAGCCGTGGGAGTGGGGTGGGCGGAGCAGGGAGGTGGGAGGTGGGAGAAGCTAAGGCCTGGGCCCAGCAGCCTTCCCCGGGGGAGGGGCTCACCTGGGCACTGGCCAGGACTGACTGGCGGGCACGCGGCGCCCTGGCACCCTACTTCAGGCGGGGCAGGTCGGGTGAGCTTCCGGGTGCACCATTCCTGAGCCCTGAGCCAGGCCAGGGAGGGGCAGGGTGCGGCCTTTCAGGCAGCGAGTCTGCTGAGCGCAGCGCCCAGGGCCCAGGACCAGCCGCAGTGGGCCTCTTCACCCAGGGGGTGAGCAGCTGCCCAGGGGCCTGAGCCCCAACCCGCCTGCCACTCCCCACTCCCTGCTGGAGGTCAGTGGTGCCAACCTTCGTGACCCGCCTCCCGCCCGGCCCATCACACCCTCCCGGGGCTGCGGGTGCCTGGGGTGGGCTGGGAGCTGCAGTCCCCCGCCCCCACACCCGGGAGGATGGGGGAGGAACTCTCGGCCCAGCGCCCAGGGGCCCAAAGGAATTGGGACGGGGTGGAGCTGCCCAGCCCTGGACAGGACGCTGGGGCTGGGGGGCAAGGCCACCAACCCCAAGCCCCAGACCTCGCTCTTACCTGGGAGGCGGCTGGAGGAGGGGCCTGTCCCGGGAAGGGCCGCTGGGTCCCGCCCGCCAGCGCACGTGGTGGCCGGCCTCTGGCATCACAGAACCCGGCTTGGCCCTGGGGTGCACCCCACCCTACTATACGCTCGCCCAGCAGCCGTGCTCCCTCCCTGCCAACCTCCGCCCCTCCTCACACCCTACCCTGAGGTCCGAGTGTCTAGTCTGCACCCATCTCTGGCTAAAGTCCTCACTTTCTATGGAATTCCGTGTCCCCAAGTCTCATCTGGGGCCAGTAACTGCTAACCCGTCCACTTCCCAGGGCGGTTATCAAAACAACCGGGTGCCCAGAGCTGCACCCAGCGCCTTGCGCCACCAGGTTGGGTAAGTCCTTCCTTTTGACAAACAGCCCCAGGCGGCGGCTGGCAGGCCCGTTATCTCCCTCGGCCCATCTGGGCGTGGGCGTGGCTCGACTGGGGATCAGGCTAGACGGTGGCACTTCCTGTGTGCTGCCTGGGGAGGAGGGGGCCAGTCCCCATAGCTTCCGGCTGTTCTGCACAAGCCAGGCCCGTCAGCACTGACGCCCCCAGTTCGCAGATGAGGAAACTGAGGCTGAGAGGTCAATCGGCCTCCAGGTGTCACCCACCAGGCCTGGGTCTTGTCCGCCCGGGGACCCTGCCGAGCAGCCTGGCTGGTCCAAGAAGCCTTGGGAGGCGGGCAGGGAGAAAGTGAGCTGGAGGGAGACACGGAAGGAGGCCCCCAGGAGGGAAGAGCAGGTGGGCAAAGCCAGGACCCACAATGAAAACACTCGATGGGAAAGGCGTCCAGGGACTGAGGTGGGACAGACGGAGGGCGGTCGGGGCTGTCATGCAGCCGGCAGTGTGGTCCTCGGTGCGTGGTCTCAGGCGGGATCTAGGCACCAGGCAGCTCAGCATGGAGGCCCCGTCTCTCCTCCTCCCTGCACACCCGTGTCCCAGCCTTCTGGTTCCTGCATGACCTCAGGCCCATCTTGAAGGACACCTCCTCTGGGGAGCCTCCCTGGGTTGAGCCCAGTGGAGCACTTGCCATGCACACTTGCCCGTCTGTCTCCACTCTCCCCACTCGCCATCCCACTGTGTGCCCGGCACCTGCCCCACCGGGGACTGGCACAGAGGAGGGCCAGGTCGGAGGCGGGAGAGCCACTGGCAGCGCTCGCTGAGATGACTGGGCCCTAAAGGCCGGGGGAGGGAGCAGGGAGGGAGGGCAGCACCTCCAGGCCTCCCGGGTCCCAGGAGAGGAGCCATCCCTGGCCCAGGCCCAGGCCTGCGCGGAGTGGCAGCCACCGAGGCGGGAAGTTACCAAACAACTCGGCGGCTGGGATGGGGCCACCGCTAAGTCTAAGTCTCTATCGCGCCCTCCGAGGGCTGCCGGGGCCACCGCACCGGC